TGTGGCATGAGATGATTTAGATGTCATTAGGCTCAGCTGAGTTGGGAGCTATTATTGAGTTCATCGAGTTCAATATTCAAGGGCATGTAACAAAGCACTGAAACTTAAGTAAGCTGTAGCGTTCCGCAGCTATTTCTCGCCAACATAGCTTACCGCCCCCGTTCCTTCAGCTACGGCGCCGTCCTCCTGGGAGCCTGCGCCGCCGAACACCGGGGTCTGCTCCTGCCTCCGGTGGGATCGGACATCTGCGCTACCAACCGGACAGGAGTACGGCTACCACCCCGCCTTCCCACTATCGGGATCTGCCCCAGCCTCCGGTGGGATCGGACATCTGCTCTACCAACCGGACAGGTATACGGCTACCACCCCGCCTTCCCATTACCGAAGTCTACCCCAGCCTCCGTTGGAATCGCACGGCTGCTCTACCAACCGGACAGGTATACGGCTACCACCCTGTCTTCCCCTCACATCTCATCCTCCCACATACTTCTGCCAATGGAGGGGGGCTGCTGGATGCACATATCTCAGCAGTCCAACGCTCCATTCGTTCCTCGAATCCTATGGGGAGATTTTGGCAGGTGTTAGCGCTTTCAGTGATGCGCCTGCACCAATATCAGCGACTTCACCGATATTTGCGAAACGGAGATCACATTTGTAGACGGGAGGAGAGAGAGAGGGGACGGGCGGAGCGTGCTGAGACAGCACGCAATCGAATACAAAAGAGGTCGTCTGCTGTCCTCGTCTTCGGGCGGCTCCAGTGCTAAACACTCGAAAAATCGCCAACGTTTTACCGAGGATAGGCAGGCGATGGACACCTAGAACGAGACACGGATCAACAATTGCCCTCCCGTATAACTGACCTGTGCAACGCACTGCTGCGTGGCCCCAAGCGACTGTCTGCCCTGCCTTTTACCCGACAGCAGGAACGTCATCTGTTTAACGGAAATTCCATGGCATGGTAACGGCCCTAGCACTTGCATGTCTGCCCGCCTCTATAAACACGTGTACTTGACCTCGCTGACCTTTGCCGCCTTGTTTTATCACTGCAACGATTGGCAGTAATAGCCTCGAGTACATCCTCCAATACGTGACCGTCCAAAGCTGCGGCTACTGACTATTGATTCGGTGGCCACTTGAGCACAGCGATGAGCCGTCCGAACGCCCTTTGGAGGATGGGCTGTCGAGGGTACAGCTGCTTCAATACCGGCCCAGTAGCCGTCAGCGAGATGAACAACGTGGCGGCACAGGGGCGTGCTGCAACCAGGAGGTGCTGGATGGTACAGTCCGGCGGTCATCCGGGGAGCGGAGGGCAAGTCTAAGGCAGATCTTCCACATTGTGAGATTCCAGAACAGCCCGTAGCTATCAGCAGAAATTGAAACACGCCCTGTCCGGCAGGAAAATTTCCAGACGGCACTGACGTTGAACGTAATGCTAGGAATGAAAAGCCAGCGAATATGAATTAAGCCACAGGGGAAAGCTCTTGCCAGTCTCAGGACTGAGAGACGTAAATCCGTTTGGTTGTCTTTTCACACTATTTCTCCTAGCCTTTTCCGAGCCGCCATTCAGCGATGAGCGTCGGCTTTGCAGTCAATGACGTCAGTTGCCGCCTAAACCCCGCGTCTAAATTGTCTCCAGACATTATCTTCCTGCTCAATACCTCGTTGGCTCGCTATGGCGATCTGTTCTTACAGGCAAGCAGCAGGGCTAGACACATGGGACAAGACGGGCGCTGGTATTCGTCTGGTGTGGTGGGACAGTGACACGGGAGATGTACGGTCAGATCCCATATGGGCTCGAAACTCACTGTCTGGTGAACGTCAACGGATAGGCTGCATTCATCATTGCATCCACAATCAATAGCGGCATCAAGCAGATAGATGGCTGCCATCAACTAGAGGCGGCCCACAAATCTATCTGCAGTGCTGGTGAAATATACATGAGGCGGGTTTGAAAACCCATGTTAGTAGGTCTTTTCAAGGAGGCAAAGTGCTAACAGTCCATCTAAAGACACTTACACATGGCACCACCATCGCGAGCGTCATCGTTTCTTCGCGAGCGGTCCTGAACGCCGAGTGAGTGTTACTTTAGCGGCGATAATTTGCTGTACTCGAGTGACCCGGCCGTACCGTCACGATTTCCAGGAGCGTTGCTACCTTTGCAATCACTGGTGGAAGGTGCGCGCATTTGTGCAGCAATGGGCGGGAGAAAGTTATGCAACTTTGTTGTGTAAATGTAGGAGTATTTGCAAGGTTGGCAAGGTTCGATTTTATTTGGCATGACAGTGTGAGCAAACTGTTGCCTCCTCTCTTCGACTGAAACGGATAATTATAGAACTGATTAACTGCACAAAACCTGCCAAAACCGGCTATTTTGTGCAGTTTTGTGAATATTGTGCAGCCTCTTTTTGTCTGTTGTTGTTGTTGTTGTCCCAACGATAGGAGCCGACACCGCTGAGTAGAGCAGAGAGCGGACAATCCTAGTAAAGCACGGGTCGACGCAGGCAGCTGGTCACGCGTGTTATAGTGCACACCATGACTTTTTAGGGCCGATGTCAGATCTCAGCGACCGGAGCAGATAGCGACATGATACTGACTGGACGATGTGAACGAATGCACCGGCTAAAAATCGCTAAAAAATCTCAGCACCGTTCGACCGCTAGGCGCACCAGAGATGCATGGGGAAAGCGGCGGCTATCGCGCCAGAGATTCATCGGAAAAACGGCGGCTATCGCGCCAGAGATGCATCGGGAAAGCGGCGGCTATCGCGCCAGAGATTCATCGGAAAAACGGCGGCTATCGCGCCAGAGATGCATCGGGAAAGCGGCGGCCATCATATTCTCCGAAACCGGTCCCGAATGCCAACTGCTGCTGCCTGAACCAAGACAGACTGGGCGCGGAAGACCTGCGAAAATACACGTTTCGTCTAACTCATTGAGTAGTTCCAAATTCCTGCGAATAGCATCCAGGTACAGCAGCAGGTTGCTTGCAATGGTGGCGGCCACTGTAAGTGTACATTAATCCCAGCACGCCGATTTTAATACTGAAGCTGCCAGGCCTGACCAGAAACATATAACACAAATCGTGCATGAGCGCTCGAGCGACGGACAATCGTACTACACCGTGTATGCGTCGATGCAACTGTCATTAACATTCGTACACAGCCAGAAGGCTGTCGGTTGAACCCATAACCAGTATGAAATTGAGAGAAGGCGTAACAGGTTGTGTACATATGGCGTAACGTGACAGATGGTGAGGACAGGGTGCATGCGACAAGCATATTTAGCCCGGCTGCTCATCGAAGAAATACGTCCAACCAAAAGGCTCGAATTAAATCTTTAAAAACTCATGGCCGCCCCCTCGTAACGCGTTATAATTCGGTACGCCCAACAGTCACTAAGAGAGCAGCACTGATATCCCAAATGTGTAGAACGCTGTGTTCTTGTCTTCTTCTGAACGCTGTCTTCTGATCCCACGCCGTCTGAAGGCAGCCATTCGAAGGCGGTTCTTCTTGTAAAAACGGATAACCAGAAAGCTGAGTGAAGCCTCCCGCTCTCTCTCTAAAATTGTAAGGTGTACAGTCCCAGAGAGGGTGCGTTATCAATCAGCATGCCGCTGATGACTTTTGAGCGGAAGTGAAAAGCTTGCCTTCTGAGTGTTATGCCAGCTCACACCGCCGGGAAAAGGAAAACGAAATGAAGCTTAAGTGAAATGGCTAAATGTTCGAGGCGTGGCCTCGGAGCAACATTTTGCAGGTAAGTAGTTTCACATGAGTTTCATTTTAATAGCGCACGTCAACTTCCTACCCAGCATGCACATGTCCTTGTAGACTTAGGTAACAGCTGAACATTAAATCGGCAGAATGCGCACCTAATTTCAGCAGTGTATCAGGATCGTCTTTAGGACCGGCGCGGCCACAGAGGGAGAATCGTTGGAGCCCGGCTGGCGACGGTTGGTAAGTGTATCGGAGCGCAACGGATGCCGCAGTGAACCTTTTCTAGCGAAGTTCTCATGTCAGAAGACTTTCCAGAACGCTGCTCACTCTCAACTTAGGCATTTCCAAAGGGGTTTGACGTTATTAGATTTGGTTTGGTATCATATATTTTATGACAATTGACAACGCTCACGCTTATTATCAATTTGCCTACACCGCGCAGGGTTCCTCACTGGTAGTTATCTATTCCGTACTGCTCGGGACATAACACGTCATGGGTCTGTTCTCATCCTCCCCGTCGGGAAGCCAAGCTACAACAATTAACAAATCACTCGTTCACGACCCTTCGAGGCTCCAGCAAACTTAACAAATCCGTAACACATTCATAACATAAATAGAATAGTCAAATACGAATTGCGACCACTGGCGGGCGTAAACATCGGACTCGCCACATCAACAACGGTACCTCGGCAGGGCGTCTTACAAGCGCACCAGCTTCAACTTCTGCGCTGAGCACGATCAAACCCAACGGCGGTGAGACGACCAGTCGATCCAACTAGTCCCAACTTCGCCCGACAGAGCGACCGGCTCCGTGAAATTGCGTCTGCGGCTGAGGCGACGGACGCAATCAGAGGGCCTCGACCCCGTCGGCGAGGATCGATCCGTCCTCTTTGGGCGCCGAGCGTCCCTGGATCTGCTCCGCAACCGGCCCGCGCTGACCCCTGACCTCCTCCGAGAGGCGCGGGCCGCGGCTCGCCTCAGGCGGCGCGCCGAGCGCTGCCCTCGGCAGCTCCGCCAGCCTGTGACTCCGTGGCTGGCCGCCAGAGGCGTGCACGGCGCGCGCCGGCTCGCCACGGGCCGGCGCCCGGCTCTGATGCACAATGAAGCCGGGTGGCAGGTTGCCGCGCGCGCCCACGTAGCTGGGGTACGAGTGGCGTGGGTAGGGTGACGGGCGCAGGGGGCGCTGTGGTCGGCCGGGCCGGACCACCTGTGGCGACATCTGCCGCACGGGAGGCCGGCGCAGCAGGTGGCGCGGTGGCGGCGGCCGCGGCGGCGCCTCGTGCGGCACCGGGAACAGGCTCTTCGCCATGCGCTTGAAGGAAGTGATGACGTACTTGATGTTGTCGGCGATGACCTGCGCCTGCGTCTCGGGGTCGAGCGGCGGCGGCGGCGCGGCCGTCGTCAGCTCCTGATCGTCCGGGTGGGTGGCCGTCACATTCCCGACCGTGGCGTCCACGCGGCGGTCCACCCGGTTGGAAACGACGCCTGCCGAGCTGAGGTCCAGCCGCAGCTCGGTGGCGTTCGGAGCGGCAGCCGGTACCGGCTCCGTGACGTTCTCGTGGGACGGCGGCGGCGGCGTGCCCGGCGCCACCGTGACCGGCCGCCACGCGTCCGCCGACGGCACCGTCTCGTTGCTGGCCGCCGCCGTCCCCTGCGGCTGCTCGGCCGGCGCGCCGGTGGTCCGGCGTTGCTCGCTGGTCCGCAGCGCCGGCGGCGGGGCGGTCGTGGTTGAGGTGGTGGTGGTTGTCGTGGTGGTGGTCGTCACGCGCACCTCGCACTTATTGCCGGAGAAGCCAGCCGGGCAGACGCACCGGTAGGCCGGGTCCTCGTCGACGATGACGTTCCGGCAGGTGCCGCCGTTCCGGCAGACACCAGCGCGGTATGCGCATGGGTCCACCGCTGCCGGAGGGCGGAGGGAGTGGTCAAGTGGCGGGCAAACGGCTGCAGGTGGGCCTGAGGCGGCCTCGCCGTCGCCCTCACGGCAGCCCCCCCCCCCCCTCCCCCTCGGGCACCGGCACTGCCGCTGCTTCAGGCCGGTAAGCTATCGAGACAGCCTCGAGGTAACGGAATGACACATTTGCGGGCGACTTCTGCTATCAGCACCATTTTCTGTTGTGGTTTGGCCTAGCTGGAGCATTTTTGGGCACGGTTTATTATTACATTATGGGAATGAACCAACAAAATAAACTGTGGGGTAATGCCTCGACCATCGTGACCTTTCGCAGCCATCCAGTTATGCACGAACAGGGACTCGACATCGGGGTATGTAGCTGTGGGGTGATCGGAATTCAGGACGAGGCTGTGAATGGCAACCGAGCGGATGCCAGAACCACCTCCTGGTTACAGGTCCTGGGGTGACAAGGAGACCAGCAAGTAGCAGGTTTACACGTGCATAATCGGAAGGCACAGGCAAATTAGTCCGGCAAAGACAAGAACAACATAGGATCCACTCCTGAGCTCTCTCTCACTCCCGAACTCACAGAATCTCCCGAACCCTCCCTGGCAGATGCAGTGAGTCGCCAGTCACGGGTACACAGCCGGATCGTCCAGCTAGTCCAGCTACGCACAATCCGTTACGGCCATGTAAAGCCAACTTGCCAATCTAGCTCGCACTCACGCTTGTCGCAGAGGAAGCCGGTCCAGCCCTCGCGGCAGTCACACTTCCAAGGCTCCGTGCAGTTGCCGTTGACACAGCCCGGGTATGGGAAGCACGTGTCACAGCTGGCGCCGTGCCAGCCAAGGTCACACCTGCGGGCGATGGCACAGGTCGCATCGGTGCCGCAACAGCCGGCAGTGTCGCCATGTGCCGGACAATGAGGCGTGTTCTGGCACACTCGGAACAGTCAACAACGGCACATGGAGCACGATGGCGTCACATCGGATAGCACCGCGGACAGTCGGGCGGTGTCAGATGGTGCCCGATAACATTGCACAAGTCCCATGTCGTGAAATATTCGGAGAAGGTGGCGGTGTCGTACAGTGGCAGGCATCGCCAACGGATTCAACCAGCGTGTGACATAACCACCCTTGTTGAGAATATGCACATGTGACTTTGGATTGGCATGCCTTAGTTCAGCGGTACGTCTGCCCATCGAGATACACGCTGATGAGTAGACACATGCTGCTTGTAAGGGGAGAGGGAGAGAGAGAGAGAGGGGAGAGACAGACAGACAGACAGACAGACAAAGAGAGAGGACTTCATATTACCGGTGAAACTCCCCAGTTCCACCGGTAATCTTAACTTCCCCAGCCAGTTTTTCCCGGACTACGAGTAAATAGCAAGCGACAAGAGCGCTGACAGCTGTCTAATTTTGTGGGCATTATCTCCCTGCTCGTCTGTTTGAGCCCGACTGCAGTCAAATGGAAAGCTAGTGCTTGTTGTATTTATTTGCACATGATATCATCTGCTCCTCGTACCAGCGCTTGGTGTAAGCCAACTCACCTGCACGTGCCCGGCTTCTCGCAATATCCGTGGTCCTTGCTACAGCCGTCAGCGCATATGGCTGAAAGGCACGCAGGTCAGTGGGGTCAGATCAGACAGTGCTAACAATCTGATCAACATAATTTCAGGCAGCAGCATTGTGCCGTTAACGACACATTGGTCCAGGCGTTCAGACGACACCTCGGCCGACATCATTGACAACGCTTTTTCCAACTGCATCACGAATGTGGTCACCGTAGAACAGATATCTTTATCAGATTAGCTGGGACCAGTGATCGCACCAGACGTACGCATGTCCCACTCAGTGTATACCGGACGTAAATCAGCAAGCTTGTTAGATTCCTCAGCACTGGTCTGGCGTGCGGTTCCGTTCCGGCGGGGGTGGCTCCGACTCCAACTCGCAGCGCATCGGGCAGACCCCGACTCTGACTCCGGGCAGCATTACACAATCCTGAGTTGGCCATGGTTTCTACGCATGGAGATGCAGCTGGATGTCGGAATTGATTCCGGAATCGATGCCGGAGTCGATCCCGCAGCGAGGCTTCAAGGGCAAGAGTATGGAACACCTCTTTTCCGGTGTGACGTTTTAATACGCGCCTCTCAATCCCGGTGACTTTCACTTTTTATGATGACTTTTCCTGGTGACTATCAGATGAATCATACCAGTACATCCGCACGGAACAACATATCCTCGAAATTCGCGCGGGATCTGAGAGCCGTACTACCAGGAATGTGCTGTTGGTTTGTTGCATCCTGCCGGTTGTCCCTTGCAAGAATGCCTTGTACTCTTCACCCACCTCGTTCGCAGAAGAACCCTGTCCAGCCGGGAAGGCACTTGCATTCCAGCGGCTTGTCACAATAGCCCTTTATGCAGCCGGGAAGAAGCTGGCACTCGCTGCACAGCTTCCCCGCCCAGCCGATGCGACATCTATTGTGCAAAAAACGAACCATCGATGAGTGAAAGGCGGCGCCGGTGCACTGGCGTGGATCACGGACGCGGCATGGCGAGTGCTGGGAAGGCTCTGTCTCGCCTCCAGTGACAAGATGGATAACAGGCTCCGAATTTCTCCGGTGATGACGTGCACTTTCAGACAGTGCCCATGCTGATCAGCAAACACTGCGCCATCCATGCCTGGATGGAGCGGCACTGATGCAAGAAGAACGGTGACAATGACGGGAGCGTGACCACTCACTTGCATTCGTTGGGCTGGGAGCAGTATCCCCTCGACTTATCACATCCACTTGCACACACCGCTGAAATGGAGGGGTAAGGCACGAGTAAGGCATGAGTAAGGCAAGGTAAGAGCACGAGTTTTGCAAGCCGGTTTGTCGGAAGTCACTCGACTTGTTTGCACGATTGGTTACCACCACCCATCCATATCAAACAAGCCGGCTGTGCACGCATTCGCCCGTGATAGGAATGAGGCTTATGGCTGGGACATTAGAGCCACACCTATTCTATCAAGCCGAGAACCAGGGGCACAAGAAAACCCCAAAACCTTCCCAAGACTTCGCCGACAACGAGTCCGACATTGCGCCAAACGTTTGCGTAGTGGCCAGGCAGGTAATGCGAAAACGTCGTGCTGATGGCTTCAAAAGCTCATCCACCTGGCGTGACGAAGGCACGCCTCGGCGTAACGTCCCAACGCCCCCTCAGGCTGTTTCGGACCAGACAGCCAGGCGCAGCACCCCAGACACCACGCTGCCAGCGACGGGGCGCACACTGCGTCACACAGCCGAGGCTGACTCCGCGCCAGTGGCTGCAGCGGCGGGAACTATGACGACCCGCGCCGGCTTTCTCCCGAGGGCTCCTGGCGTGTGGACCGGTCACACCGCAGAATGGCCGGCATTATGAGCCAATGGACAGCTTGCAGGAAGGGGTGACTCATTTGACACCGTTATTGACCGGTTGCTCATTCGGTAGTTCCCCGAAAGCCGTGTTCGTGCTCAAACGAATGTTGGATCAGAACACCTGTGCAATGTGCGCGGTTGACGGCGGACTGGACGTTTGCTGATGGCAAACGTGATGCTGGGCGCATGCATGTCGCAATTAAGACTGATCCAGTTAATCAAGTTTGCTGGACATTTTAGACACAGCGTTTTTCAGCGGGGGCTGAAAGTATGAACATATATGTATGTGAGCATGTCATGATGACTACATAATTATTGCTGAATGTCAGCAACATGTTGACTCATTCGCTCAGGTTCAAAGGCCTGAGCTTTTGTGACCTGCACCTGCCGATAAGGCGCCTTTTGATGGCGTACCAGCATGGGGGAGTCACAGACATGAGCCGCAGTGGTGTTAATGACAGCAAGACATGGTGAATAGCGCCCGCTGTCTTTGGGAGCCCATATAATTGGTGATGTTAACGCATTGGACTATCTCTTCTCTAGCTGTCTTGCAGGCGGGGGTGTACCGATGTCGCGCGCTCGAACATCGCTACTCTCCAATGGACATTGTTCAAAATTCGGCTGACTGGGCTTGAAGGCTCGACAAATTCAACTCATGAAACCGAGCAGTTGAAACGGTTTGCACATTCGATGACATCAACTTAGCTGTACGCCTTCGCAGCTATTAAGCTGATCACTCGCGTGCAAGCACCAGCTTGGAGTATTCCAAGCCGGCTTTAGACAGTGGGACAATGGCCGTTTTCCGGTCCGTTCGCGTCTAGTTGAGTGTCGAGCGGGATACTGATCGCCTATTGATGCGTCAACAACAATACTTTCGCCTACGCCATACACCTGGATTTAGGGTTTCAGGTATCTCGATTGTCAATATTTGGTATCGCGCCTTACAGCGTCACCAAACGGGCGGATCGACGGTTTGCGCCGCTTGAGAACGCGAGACTGTCGGCCCACATCGATCCACACGCTTATCAACGTAACTTTCTTGTCTGTCAACATGTGCTGATCCCAGCCACAATTGTCGAGATTTGTGCCTGGTTTAGGCACATATTCACAGTTGTTTTGAAAGCGGCAAATGCCGCGTTTTTCATGCCGATGAAATAGTACAGGCGACTTGACAATCTTGCAGTGTTGCAGGAAACTCTCGTCCGGTCATTTCTTTAAATGCAGACAACATGAAACCATTGCGTCACAGCTTTCGGAGTCTTGCGCTGCTCGTGGCTGAAAACTGCACTGCGGCACGACCAGTGGTTGCAAGCCAAAGGATCGTGAGGAGGTGACTGATTGAACCATCCGGACCCGGCAACGCGCTGTCAACCCGGTCACCTGGAGCTACCTAATTTCCGACTAGTTCACGTCGAGCTCGAACAGCCTACGGTCTCGCTGGTGAAAAGGTTTGCTTTGTTGCATGAATCTAAACGATTAAGTACATTACATTTCAGTATTTCGACTCCGGTGTAACTTTTTTGAAACTTTTGGAGCCGCATAAGACTACCGGTGACCTTGCCGGGTCTTCACGGGTAGCTGCGTGAGAACGATGGTTGAGTGCTCGAAATTTTTTGCCAGCGAAACTCTGTGTATAACCTTTGGCTCCATGAAAGAAAGGCATGTCCGGTGTCGTGCGTTCCAATCCTAATCGGAATAAAAAAATACTCGTTTGCTGTGGCGAAGACATTCGTCGTCGTGCATGCAAACACATTGCATACATTGTATACATCCCAATGTATAAGTCACCAATGTATATATTGGTGAGCGAAGGCTCAATACGTTGCTTGCTTTAAAACACTAAGTTGATCAGTTCACTAACGAGTTTCTTTTTGCCGCGCTAATGGCTCGCAGAGACATGCAACACTTCCAAGGACCAGGTTATGTACCTCACAGCCGGCCTACCAGGAGTAAAGCAAGATGGCTACTAAATACGGTTTTCCTGATTATGACATGGGTCTCCAAGTATGTCTGGTTGAAGCAAAATGGTGTAGTTGAGTGGTTCCGAATCACTTATCACTCGTCAGCAATGTTTCGAATCCATCCTGGCCTTCACATAGCAAAACATGTAAAAAACGACAAAGGCCCAGTAGAAAGCGCCCAAACACTGAACTAAAAGCGAGCAGCAGATGACGCATGTCGCGCTGGTCTTTGTCTGAGCTCGCAGATTCACGGGTTACTTCTGGACCTACTTTTAGACATGAGAACCTCACAGCGGGTCGTGCTTGCGGTACATGCAGTTAGCCACCGCTAAGGCCACCCTCTCACGTTTGTTGCAGAAGAGGCCGGTCCAGCCCTCATTGCAGTGGCACTCGAAGCTCTTGCGGCAGTGGCCGTTCATACAGCCGGGCAGTGGCACACAGTCGGTGCACAGCTCGCCGCCATACCCTGCCGGCAGCACACACGTCACGCTCGGCGCCGGCTGCGGGCGGCCCCCGCGCGGAAGTGGTGGCACGCCTGGTTAGAGCAGGCAGCACCCAGTGTCGCCGGTGGCACGCTCGGCGCCGGCTGCGGGTGGCCGCTGCGCGCAGCAAGGCAGCCGCCTAGTTAGGGCGGACAGCACCCAGTGCCGCCGATGCACAGTGCGTGGCGGCCGAGCGGAGCACCGCTGGCGATCGGCTACGGCCGGGCAGACGCCGCTGTGGCGGCCGAGCGGAGTACCGCTGGCGATCGGCTACGGCCGGGCAGACGCCGCTGTGGCGGCCGAGCGGAGCACCGCTGGCGATCGGCTACGGTCGGGCAGACGCCGCTGTGGCGGCCGAGCGGAGCACCGCTGGCGATCGTCTACGGCCGGGCAGACGCCGCTGTGGCTGCCGAGCGGAGCACCGCTGGCGATCGTCCACGGCCGGGCAGACGCCGCTGTGGCGGCCGAGCGGAGTACCGCTGGCGATCGTCTACGGCCGGGCAGACGCCGCTGTGGCGGCCGAGCGGAGCACCGCTGGCGATCGACTACGGCCGGGCAGACGCCGCTCTCACGCAGGCCCGCTTGCATTCGTCGGCGCCGGCGAGGGTCAGGATAGGAGAGCGAGCTGATGAGGTGCTGCTCTCGCTGTCGATGATTGACAGGCGGCTGGGGCGGGGGCGCTGCCACGGGCGGGCATGACACACTAGAGGCCGGGTACATCTGCTGTTGGGGAATGGTCGCCGTCAGGTATTCACGTTAGACTTGCGGTATGGTGGCGTTATTATCTCCTGTCAGTTAATCTGGCGGAGAAATGGCAAACGCATCCCCACAGGGCAGTGCCGCCCCGCACTGGCATCCGCCTGAGATTGGAGAACAAGTGGGACGAAGCGGTGTGCGGCGAGAAGAAGCAATATAAAACACAGAACAGCATCCACGCTAGTGCCAGTCCCCCTGAACCGGTCGAGGGGAAGCAGGTCAAGCGCCGCCTCGCTCACCGATCTTGCAGATGCACTCGTCGGGCTGCTTGCAGTAACCGAGCAGCGGGTCGCAGCCAGTCTTACAGATGGGCACGTCGCAAACGTCGCCCGTCCAGCCGGGCAGGCACTGGATCAGGCCGTCCTCCATACACTTGTAGTGACCCTTGGTCTTGGCGGCTGCGTCGCACGCCTGTCGACAGACGGGGCGGGGCTGACTGTCATCATCGGCGTAACCACGCCGACAGACAGGGCGGGGCTGACTGCGACCATCGGCGTAACCACGCTGACGGACGGGGCGGGGCTGACTGTCACCATCGGCGTAACCACGCTGACGGACGGGGCGGGGGCTGACTGTCACCATGGACGTAACCACGCTGACGGACGGGGCGGGGCTGACTGTCACCATCGGCGTAACCACGCCGACAGACAGGGCGGGGCTGACTGTCACCATCGGCGTAACCACACTGACGGACGGGGCGGGGCTGACTGTCACCATCGGCGTAACCACGCCGACAGACAGGGCGGGGGTTGGCTGTCACCATGGACGTAACCACGCCTTTATATTTGTCTTTTAAAAATGTATTCTAAATGGTTTGTATGGGTGACTTTTGGGTTCAGAGCGCCTGTTAAGCATAGCTTGTTGCTTGTAGGCTGAACCATTCGCCTATGTCGAAGTTTGCCTCCGCCCTTTCGCCATGCAGGAACGCAAAGGTTTTTACGTGCCGAACAATGCTGCGGCACGACCGCCCCGGGCCTGCGTTGACCCTCATTGACTATCTGCCAGCTCACTTTTCCACTTCAGTCGGGCCAAACAATGCGCCCGCTTTGGGACTCGTACCCAGTGCCGGTGGATTATGAGTCCAGCATTTTTCCTCAGACCACGGAAGCGGCTAGGGGGTCAGATTAACTAAGGCGTTCCACCAGGGAAGCGAATTCTCACCCAAGAGGAAAATACGGGGGTCTGAGAGGGGGGGGGGGGGGGCTGCGATGTAGCCAGATCATGTCTAGGATACCCGTTCCGGCCGAAGCAACAGGTACCCTTTGACTGAGGGGTGATGTTGTCACATGCACTGCCACGCAAACAATTGCTAAAGCAGCTAAAAACGAGGGCAGCATTTCAACTGGCAAGCAGTTCTCTGGCACAAGCGGTTTGCCGAGAGTTTATTTCTGTAATGCGATTTGTGTTGCCTGACCGCCATCATCGTAAAGAATACTTCTGTGGACTCATCAGCCGCTTACGTGATCCTGTTGGCAATGCGTGGCAAACATGCGCCCGGTTTCTGTTAGATGACGTTTGTTGTTCGGTTCAGGGGTGAGTCATAATGAATTCCTCATCACGGAAAGGCTTAACAATGTTGAAAAAACACTGATCTAACAGATGACTGACCGCTGAATCCGCCTGCTACACGGTTGGTGATCAAACTGTGCTTTGAGAGCCCGGATGATGGGGCGGTAGATTGTAGGAAGAACTGATCTATAACATTCATGTGTTCCTCAGGATTAAATGCAAGTAAGAGCGCAGCTCAGCTAACTACCGTGTGTGTCTAGTCCTAACCATCGGCAGGGGTTGGTAACGGTGCCTGGCACCAGCACTCCGTGACTGGGTGGTACCATTGAAGCCCACTCTCGCCGGACCACCAGCGGGGCTGGCAAAGTTCACACCTGAGCAGCCCATGCTTCCCTGCGCCGCCGTTTTTACGGCATTAAGGGTACCGCAATAAACTGCATTTTCCTCTGCCCCACCCCGTGCATTATTCCCATTATGGCATGCAATCATGCCACACAGTATACCAAAGAGGAGCAAAATAAAACCAATCCCAAAGTCTGGAACGTGCATGTCTGTGTGCTTGGGAATACCACCCGCTCATGGGCGTGTATTGCGCGCATGTGCATATATAATTGCACAAATGTACACCTTAGGTATGTGTAAGCGTATATGTATACGTGTGTACACCTGTATATGTGTGTATGTGAACAAACACATATTTGTGCATATGTATGCATATAACGTTGAAGCATGCATGCTTGTGTGTACATGCACATGTGTACATGTTATATACTCATATGCATGGATTTGCAAGTGTGCAGACCATGCACGATGCGTTACGTGTACGCTCGTGATTAGCGGTCGCCATCCGTGCGAGCGCTCCAAACATGCACCAGCATAGTGAACATATCGGGCTTATCCGTGTGTCTACTTAAAGGGAGTGTTTCAGTATCCCAAGGAAGATTTCCAGATAAATGGCCCCACATTTAAATGGGGTTTTGAACTGAAACAGCAATCTTGAAGGCCTTTCGGTATTGTTCACAATCCTGTCCTTCGTAAGGCCTACGTCCCTCTAGTTTCTGAGCTGCACGCCCGCGAAAATGGGAAAGGTATACTGCGAAGAGTATTTCAAAGTCAACGTGGCATTCATGACGTCATAATAACGTCAAGGAAATGCTGTCATTCCCAAAGCCATGCGGCGACCAAGGCCAAGAAAAATATAATGGTCGAGTCGTTCATATCTGGTGTTTGTGAGCTCGATTTCCGGATAAAATGGCCGTCAATTGGCTATCAATGTTGTGCAAGGTACGACGACGTAATCAAGCCATGACGCATTAAGAAGCATGTTTACTTAACAGGGAATTGTGTTGTCCAGAGCAGTCTTTACCATTCAAAAAGTATGCCAATAGTTACAAGTGAGCTTGTTTCACTACATCTGATGCTTGCTTTGGTATCTTCAAACGTGAAACATTCCCTTTAACGTGAGCTCGGCTGCGCCTGTTGTGTGGGGTGAATAGCATAGCGAGCATTTTGTCATCTGGCATAAGTGACAGGCTCATTACCGCTGATTTGTTGCCGGCTTTCACGCTGCGAGCGGCGGTAAAATATGTGTGGGTATTTGAAAGGCTACCATGAGCCATTCCCTTCGCAGACACCGCTTACGTCCCTCGACCACAGCGCTCGCTCTCGCGTACGTGTCAGCCGGCGCGTAATTTGATGCAGGGAAGTGTCCGCCGTAAAACCGCGTGCGCCGCTGGCGGAAGGCGGGGCTCAGAGCGGCGCGCGGAGATCGTCACCTTCGGCTGAGTAACAGCCTTGTGTCACAGCCCCCCGCCCCGGACACCAGCGTCCGGCCGCCGAACTGGGTCGGCCGCCGCCCCCACACACCTCACTTCCGGCACCCGGAGAAAACGCGTCACCCTCAGCTGTTGTGCGCGCGCTTATTACACGTCGTTCATGGCGTCCCGCTCGAGCGCGCCTGTAACCGGCGGCGACGATTACCTGCCGCGCCGCCACGCCCAACTGTTCACAATGCGCGCACCTCGCCGGGGCGTGCCGCTGGCGCTGAGATGGCGCGGGACGGGATGACGGACGTCCGGGCCGTTTGCAACGGGTATCAGTGGTGCGGATGTCAGCGGCTGAAGACGTCGGACATCGCTGGTAGCGGATATCGAACATTACTGACTGCAAACAGCGTGCGGGTGGGAGGGAGGGGGGGGGGGGGGCAGCACCACCTGTTGTGACCGGACCACAGGCAAAGGCGGAGGCAAGGACATCCTGCTCCGTTCCTCAGCAGGGAGAATGCGTGAGTATGAGAAAGCATGGCAACCAGCAGGGTAGTCCATGACACACGATGCGCTGGCCACAGGCACGATGGCCTGGTTTCTGAGGAGGTGATGTGCATCCCAGCGGGCAGACTTGTGCCCGGCGACCCCGACCCCAGACTTGTGCCCGGCGCAGACCCCGTGCTGCCGCTCTCGTAATCAACCACCCGCAAACAGCGGGGCGAAAAACTCGCAGCAGTCCACAAGTTCAAACGTGACAAAACAAGCGCAGATTTTCAAACAGCTCAAGCATCCCGCTCAGGTGATGTTAAGGGAAAAACCGACGTACCATGATGCCAAACGTATGCTTGTTTCCCGCGAGCCTCGCGAGGGACCGCATATAACGCAAAAGGTCGACATAAGGTCATCGGGTACAGGCCTGTTAGATGACTACTTGATTGTATGTCGGTCAGGCGAAGTGCATACCCACTAAGGGTGTTTAAGTATACGGCATTATGGGTGTTATCCTGGGAATTTAACTCAACGCACAACGTGTCACATTACAGAACACCCTGAAAAATCCGGTAGAGGCAAAGATTGTCCGAAGTCATTGGCGCGTTTCGTGCATATCGTTTTAATTTGTTGCTGGAAGCAGTTCTTAAAACGTCTAGCCGTTCGTGACCGAACAAACTGACGAATGGTAACGCTTGCAGTAACTGATAGCATAGCACATGCACTGATAACATAAAAGCTCAGGACTGTGCAACTACAAGAGATTCGTGTATTCGGTGTATCGTGGAAGTGCAGGAAGGTTCGATATTTCAGCACCACTTTATATATCACACACTGTGCTTTTCCTCGGTTGATCCACCTGACCCTCGCCCGGGCACTGCTCGTGATAGTCGGAAGTCAATCCATTCTCATTTGTAGCGCCTTGTACCCCGGAAGCAGCGATAAACCGTCACCGCGCTTCTTGAGGGAAAGGGGAGAGCCGTGTGACCGCCGTGAACGGCCAACGGAACGGGACGGGAGAGCACCAGCGGCGGTCCTGGGAGAAAGGTCCAGCCCCGCCGGCGGTGAACGTCTGGCCCGGTCCCCGCCGGACCGACACTGCCCGGGTCACTGCCGCCGCAGACCGGCGGGGGTCAGGATGGTCCGATGAGCAGCTGGGAGCCAGCTGCCCGACACTGCCCGTGTCACTGCCGCCGCGGACCGGCGGGGGTCAGGATGGTCCGATGAGCAGCTGGGAGCCAGCTGGCCCAACACCGCTCGGGCCGCCGCCACCGCAGACCGGTGGGGTCGCGCCGGTCACAAGCCGCTGGAGTCGGGTGAGGTAGTCCAGGTTCACAAACGACTGATAATAGCAGACAGAAGTGGGGTCTTACAGGCCTGGCACCGTTAAAGTCAGACGACGCTGGTGTTCCGCCCGCCAGGCACCGCAGAGTGTACATCAGCGGGAGACCGGCGCCGCAGAGTGTACATCAGCGGGAGACCAGCGCCGCAGAGTGTACACCAGTGGGGGCCGGCGCCGCAGAGTGTTACATCAGCGAAAGATCGGCGCCGCAGAGTGAACACCAGAGGGAGACCGGAGCCGCAGAATGTACACCAGCGGGAGACCGAGTGTAGACCAGCGGGAGACCGGCGCCGCATAGTGAACAC